GGCGGAACCAAGCATGGCGACGCCACACGTTTAAAGGATGGTACAGTAGACATATATATGGGGCCGGCACCTCGGTTTGGTTTATGGGGCCTGCACCTCGGTTTGGTTTATGGGACCTGTACCTCGGTTTGGTTTATGGGACCTGCACCTCGGTTTGGTTTATAGGGCCTGCACCTCGGTTTGGTCTATAGGGCCTGCATCTCGGTTTGGTTTATAGGGCCTGCACCTCGGTTTGGTTTATGGGACCTGTACCTCGGTTTGGTCTATAGGGCCTGCATCTCGGGTTGGTTTATAGGGCCTGCACCTCGGTTTGGTTTATGGGGCCAGTGTCACATATCAGACAGCACTTGTGCGACACACGACAATCAAACGCAACCAGTGAGGTCTAGTGCAAGCACCAGTACATGCATGCTACTACTGGATAGACAGGCGAGTGATTGTGGGGTGTTGGGCTGTCTGTGTGTCTATGCATGCCCTACAGACTACCAGTCAGCATAGCGCCCACAGCACGGCTGAAGGGTGTGCACGCAGTCAGCGGATCGCCGCCACGTGTCAAAAACATGTCACCACATGTCAACTGTCCAAACGACGCGTAAAGTATAACATGGTATGGCATAGCATGACCATGGCAGACCCTTGTACGTTAACTCAGAAGATGGTGCGGATGATGTCGCATATCTCCTGTGCTTGTTGTACCCCTTGTGCGTGTGCGTGGTTGTCTGACAGTGGCAGTGTGTTGCTGACTGACGCTTGCAGGTTGCTCGCGCTGGCATTCAACCGCCTGATAGTCCAGATAAGGAAAAAAGGAGTGAGCCAAATAAGGAAAATCAGAGTGAGCCAAACAAGGAAAATCAGAGTGAGCCAAACAAGGAAAATCAGAGTGAGCCAAACAAGGGAATCGGAGTGAATGTACTGTCAGATAGGGCCACAGGGACAGCCACGTACCAATGACAGTCCACACAGACGATGGACTTCGTACTTACACTACACAAACAATCACCAGGGATGCCAACTGGGTGGCACGAAGTCAACACCCACATGACATACGCAATGATACACTTAAGCAGACATGACATACGCAGTGGTATACTTACGCACACATGACATACGCAGTGATAAACTTACGCACACATGACATACGCAGTGATACACTTACGCACACATGACATACGGTTATACACTTACGCACACATGACATACGGTTATACACTTACGCACACATGATATATGCAGTGGTATACTTCCGCACACATGACATACGCAGTGATACACTTACTCAGACATGACATACGCAGTGGTACACATACGCACACATGACACACGCAGTGGTATACATACGCAAACATGACATACCCAGTGATTTACTTACGCACACATGTGGTGTAGCCCAGTCATCAACTACAAACGAATGCACACCGATCGTACGAATGTGTGGGAGTATATATAGGCCCAGAGGGATTAGTAGTAGGTATAGTCTGGAAAGTACATATAATCTAATAGACATTACTACATATAACCCCATACGCATTACATAAGAGTGAACAATAAGAGTATAAAAGAGTATACGACAGTATAGAACAGTACACAACAACATACAACAGCACATAACATTACCAGACAGCCATCACGCAGCCCAAGCACGACTACACCCCCCCTTACAAGTCTCTAAACACACACCTTCGTAGTTCACACAGTGTATGTTGGTCCTCTGCGCTCAGCGTTGCGTGTTGTCTGAACCCAGCCATTGCGCGTGACATCAGTTGCCATGGAAACAGTACACCCATCGTGGCCGTGTTTGTTATGGTATTCTCGTCCGCAAGCTACACCGATTTATATTTGGGTGTGAGGGGGGGAGGATGGACAAGGATTTAGAGCTGGCATTTAGAACCAAGTAGATAAAACCCCAAAACAAATAATTATCTTGTGGGATTGCTTAACATTATATAGAGTTTGACACCGTAAACTTTACTTTATACTCAGACCACATCCACTTCACACACATATACGAGGACGACACCCCCACTACTTGTGATTCATTGACATAGAAACAGACACAACTGTAGGCAGACAGGACTGACTGTCAGGTGCACACACACACAAAACTGTTCCAGGACTGCAGAGGTACACGATTCGCACACCTACAAGCAAAGGCATGCTCTGTGATGAAGTGCTTATACGTCTACGGACACATGATATGGGTAGGTGAACGCAGGAGCATCAATACACGCCGGTAGAAGGTCTGTGTGTACTGGATACATAATTTAAGAGGTACGTATATACACATATACATAAACTATACATAAATATGTACACGCAAACACAGACACAGACACAGACACAGACACACACATATATATATATATAAATATATACACACACACACACACACACACACATACATATATATATACCAATCTTACACACGTGGGTGTATATACCTTATCCAGAAAGTCCACCAACACGCGACACGCATCCTTGAACCGATTGGCGTCCACACACGCTGTTAGAAGGGCCATGTGCATGTTTTTATCCGCAAACTGGTTGCGTAGCCATGGCTTTAGAGACACTCCTTCGCCGAGCATGCACACAGCCGCTGCACGATGGTAGCGGAGGTCAGGGTAATGGGCATCCAACAGCTGCAGATAAGAGTCTGTGTTGTGGATGGGGTTGCAGGTAGAAATATGAGCGGTAGTCGAAGTAGGTAGGGGAGTATGCGCAGGGGTGTGTGTTTAATTCAGGAGGGGGGGGAGTGTGTACCATCTTGGGAGCACAAACATACAGAGACGTATCTGATGATGCAGATGACCACAGCTTGTACATAGGCTACAGAGACATAACTACAGACACATAGGGACATGCACAAACGCCATTCACAGTAATAAATCGTACACATACGAATACATCCACACTCCACGCACACATATGTATTCGCATTACATAAACACACACACATAGATATACACACCCTTATACACACACATATATACACATAGATAAGCACACACTCATATACACATATATATACACACACATACATACATAGATACACACACACTCATACAGGTCTTACACACACATTGAGAAAGTGGAGTGGGTGTACGGCACTCAATGAGATATGTGTGCGCATTCTGCCACAGCAGAACAATCCCCGACGTAACCAGTCCAATGAACTACTCAGGAACAGCACAGCCTCGCGTACACATAAACATACGTACATACACATGAACATACATAATGTACATGTAAATATACATCATACACATGAACATACATAATGTACACGAAAATATACATACATACACATGAACCTACAAATGTACACATAAATATACATACATACACATAAAAAATACTTATCCTCACATAAACATACATAACGTACACATAAACATACATACATACCTGCACATAAAACACATACCTTACATAAACATACATACCTACACATAAACATACAAACCTACACATAAACATACATAACGTACACATGAACATACATAACGTACACATGAACATACATACCTAACATACATAACATACACACAAACACACACAACGTACACACAGTCACACACATACCCATTACAAGACGAGCCCGTTCAGTTGGTGTGCCACACTCAATCAGGTGTGTGTGCGCACTCTGCCATCTTAGCACATCCCCAAACATCACACGGCCGCTGCACCTCTGTAGCCAACGGGTGGACTCGCACCACCGGTCCTGGACACTTTGGGACAGGTGCACATACCGCTGAGCAAAGTTCTGTACTACGTCACTCAGGGCTTGCTCTACCGCTTGCGCCTCAGTCACTGGAGAGGTTGGGATGAGTCATACTGAGTTGGATGTTTGCTGGGGTATGTGAAAGTGTACGTATGGACATGCATGCATTCGGGTGCAGGCAAGTATGTGTGTGTATGTAGGAAAGTATGTGTGTGTGTGTAGATAAGTATGTGAGTGTATGTAGGGAAGTATGTGTGTATGTAGGTAAGTATGTGTGTGCATGTAGGTAAGTATATGTGTGTATGTAGGTAAGTATGTGTGTATGTAGGCAAGTATGTATGTGTATGTGGTACGTATGCATGTACGTATGTGTGTTTATAATGCCGGTGGATGTACGTAGTAAACCCTTCGGAATTGTGTCATGGGCCAAGACGTTGCACGTTTTACATTTTGTTTTGTAAATGCACCCTACTGTGTTAGTTTGTGTATGTGTGTGTGTGTGCGTGATTGTGCATGTGTGTGTGTTAGTTTTTGTATGTGTATGAGATTGTGTATGTGTGTGTGTGTGCGTGATTGTGCATGTGTGTGTGTTAGTTTTTGTATGTGTATGAGATTGTGTACGTGTGCGTGATTGTGTACGTGTGCGCGATTGTCTATGTGCGTTTGTTTGTGTATGCATATGTGTTTGTGTATGTGTGTTAGTTTGTGTATGTGCGTGATTGTGTATGTGTGTGAAAGTATGTGTGGGTGTGTGTATAACTGTGTGTATGTATACAACGTCGCCTAATGCGAAGACGAGCACAAAATCACAACACATACACATACACATACACAGACAAAGCCAAAGCCACAGAAACTCACCGACACATATACACAAAACGTACAAATCTATGTCGGCAATTGCGTTTCACATTAATACACTCACATGAATGTCAATACACAGACATTCTCTGACATAATATCTGTAAATGCCTATACATATGCCTGACTTACTTGCAATAGATGTATGTCCTACCCCTCCATCTGCCACGATCTTACTGGTCACTGCCGTTCGAGGAAGTGCTACTGATGAGTTACCTTTCCTCTCACCTGCCGAATTCAGTTGGTAGATACGTATATACGTCAATACAAACATAGAAATACACACATATATATATATATATATATATACACATATATACACACATATATATATATACATACACATACATATACACATAC